TAAAAAAAAAAGCCTTCTTATTTAAATGTCTAAAATGCAAAAGAAAAATACCACATCAAAGACATAATATAAAATTTCAGAACAATGGGTACTAAAAGAACAGCGTATATACTTCCATAAAGAAAACAAGTCACATACATAGATGTAAGGAATCAGAATCAATTTCAGCTTTTCCTTAGCAACCCTGGAAGCAAAAAAACAACAGAAAATGCTGTCAAATGCTGAAGGAAAATAGGTTTTCAAACTTCAAAACTCCATACCCAGACACACAGCTACTGAAGTGTGAGGACAGAACAGAGGCACTTTCAGATAAACGAGTTACCCAAAAGCTCACTTCCAATTAAGCCTTTCTCAGACAACTACTGAGAATGTCCTCCCCCAAAAGGTAAAATAGATCAGAAAGCAAATGACACAGCACAGAAATAATAATTGAGATCCACCACAGGAAAGAGAAGGGCATCTCCAAGATGAGAGTTGGATGGAGATTCAGGAACGGTAAATACACATCAGAAAGGACAGCCTGGAGCAGCGTGACTTCAGAGGAAGGCGTGCTGGAGGCTGTCATCGCCGTGCCATCTGCCATAGGGCCAGCACTTCTACCTGAAAAATCTCTGGACAATGTGTTTTACCAAAACAGGGGAGTAAACCAAGAAGAAGATACAAGATCCAGGAAAAGGGAATCCAATCGAGGAGAAATTCCAAGGATCACAAGAAATTTAAATCCCAGGATAACAACTGTGAAGCAGCTCGAGAGAGCGATCATCCCAGAGAAAGGAGAATGGAGGATTCCAGGAAAGACTGTCTCAAAGAAAATAATTATAATTGATATTACCTGAGGTAATTAGTTTGAAAAACTACATAACCTAAGAAAGTTAAATATAAAATCAAGGCAATTATTAGGAAAAACAAACAGGAAATGTAAGTAAGGAATATTACAAATTTCAGCTGTAAATACTTGTATAGGCCTAACAGTAAATGTTGAATACTGATTTAAGAAAAAAGCATAAACTCTATTGAGAAGACAGGGGAGAAGAAATACACTGTGTAAAAGACTGAAATCTTTGCCTGCCATAAGAGCCAACAGATAACACCTCAAATTGATGAATCAAAAGATACAACTATGTGCATATTAGTAAGGAATATAGAGATGGATAAATGACAACAGAACTGACTAAAGGAGTAAAAGGTGGTTGCCAGGGGAAGGAACTATGGAGGGTGGGCAGAATAGGGCAGAAAACTGCTTATCTTATAATAAACCTTCCGGCAAATAGTGGCCTTTTAAGCTACATGCACAAGTAGAAACTAATTTAAAAAGGAAAAAACAGGACAGCAAGAAAGGAGAAAAACAATTCCTCAACCATTCTAACAAATCCTAAGTTTTTGCAAGCCTCCTCCAAATCTCCCCAAAAAATCTCCAAGAAACTCTGGTTTTATTAACCATGATTCTGCTTTCCTAACATATTCAATGAAAAAAAATTAAAGATATGAATTATATACTATGGAGGCAGACACTTTGCATACTATTGCATTACTTTGAATTCTCTTAAGACTTCTAGACAGCAATCGTCTTTCTCATCTCAAAGAAAGAAAGGCTCAAAGAAGCGAAGCAACTTACTCAAGTTCAGAGTTAATAAATGGCTGAATCAATATTCAAACCCAGATCTGTTTGATTCTAAAGCCCAAGTTCTTTCCAAAATACTACACTGCTTAAAACATAAAAACACAATATACTACTGTATCACCTGTTATAATAAATTACACAGTAGAATGGGTACTAAAATACACTGAAAACAACTGAATGTTTAAGATATTGGCTATATCTTGGGCAACTGTATTACCCTACGCATTTACATAATTTCAACTTACTGCATCTTTTCCATAAAGATGATTTGCCATTAAGGATAAAACTTCCCAAATACACAGCGCAGCCACAAAGAAAGGTGCACCAGGAACTGCTATAAAAAAAGGAGAAAGGCAAATTCCAATTGCCTAATTCACTGGAAAAACTTGCCTAAGGTGATGCCTAAATAAATTTCAATAAATGTTAAGATATCATGAGAATTAAGGGGTTTTTGTTTGTAAAATAGAAGTAGTGGCAACATTGGACGTATTATTTTTACATGAAAGAAAAGAGTTCTGAATTGGAATCATAGTTAACCAGTGACTACAACACTGCAAATCAGAAACTTTAGAGGCCCAGGATTTGAGAAAGAAATTAAAGATACTTCCCAACTTCTTAACCTTGGCATATATATTTTGGTTAACTGCATCCTGTAAGATATAGTTAACAACCCAACTAAGCATATTATGCACAGCTATTTAACGCCAACAGATGGAACTTGTGTTGAAATCTAAGTACACACCGGAATGATCAAAACTGAGCATCTTATGAAGGGCATCACGGTTACTCAAAGACAGCACTGCTTCAAGGACCTGAAGCAACCTGCTAGATAACTCTCTGTGCCTACATCAAATAAAAGTGAAACTGATTGAATGCAAAAATTTAATGAAAACCACATGATGCAAAGAAACAAAACAGTCCCCACCCTCACTGGTCTGGTTTTACACAAACATTTAATCAAGATCATACACAGAAGCAGTCTGTGTCGATTCTGAAAATTAAGACAACCCTTAAAAATGTTAATCAGCTTCCATTTCAAGGCTCAAACATACACTGGCAGCTCTTGAAAAGAAAATAAAACAGAGGTTTGGAATTATTCATTAGTCTAATACCAAATAATTGTAAGCTTAACCTCATTTCAATTTTGAAGGGGAAAAATTAAAGTTGAATCCTAAAAAAATAAACAGTATAATCACATCTATATTTAGCATTCAAGAAAATGGTCAGTTTTCATTTTAATTTAGTTTCACCTAATTAAAAAAGGTTCTTAACATGAACTAAATTCATCTTAATACCTCTGTTGTTGCAAATTCTTAGTAAGCTATTTACATCCCCTACAACTGATTAAAGCCTATCTGAAAGTTGTGACTATGAACTGAAGGATGTATGGGAAATCCCTTTTATGACAAATGTTCTAGTAGAAATTAATGGAAGTGAAATACAACCCCAAATCTTTAGGATTTGAATAAGATAAACGACTTTCTAATCATGTAAGACATTATAAACACCCTACTAATCATAAAAGATGGAATATTTTCAAAGTGGGAGTATAAGAATCCCAGTAAAGAACCCACAGATTGAAGATTATATGGAAAATCCCACATCAATATAAACTTTTCTCTGATTCTCAAAGAATTCTTAATAAGCATTTCCTAATTGGCTTGACCAACTTTTGCCTTCTCCATCCTTCATGAACTTTACATGAAAGAAAAGAGTAAAGTTTTAGTTCACTTGAACCATTTTACTAGGGTGGTATTCTAGGCAGCAAGCCCACTTGGGCTGTTTTTGTTAACTATCTGTAAGTATCTGTTTCCAGATTTCTTCTGTAATTTACAAATTCAGATGTGTTATTTATAAGACCCAAGCAACCTGGAGAACTGGTTTAGTAAGATACGATTTCTTATGAAAAAAGATCAAGATGCTGAAATTATGGCACCTTAAATTATGGTCTTTGTAATTTACAAATTCAGATGTGTTATTTATAAGACCCAAGCAACCTGGAGAACTGGTTTAGTAAGATACGATTTCTTATGAAAAAAGATCAAGATGCTGAAATTATGGCACCTTAAATTATGGTCTAAGCACCTGTTAAATATATGGAGTTCTCTAAGAAAACCTAGTTCTGTCCAGCTTTCCAAGAATTCAGGCCTAATACTCCTGAAAAACATGCTTCTTTGATGCATTTGTTTTCATCCACTGCATTGCTCCTGTTTTTATTTCATCTTCTGCCTTTGATTTTAACTATATTCACGAATTAAGAGTCTTTGCTCAGAGGTTCTATTTGGTGATTACTATTCTAACTGGCTAGTAATGCATCTAGTTCTACAGAATTAAGTTGTAGGAAACACTCATGCAACTCTGACTTCCCTCATTGTTTATGTTCTCATAGGAATTGTTAGTAAGTGTCTTGCCTAAGGGTTTCAGTCCCAGACAAGTCCACTACGGTTTCAGTGAGATGGAGGAATGACAGTGGAATATCCTTGGGGTAAAAACGTTTATTACCCAGCAGTAGTTCAGGCACTAAAATCATGTCTGCATCCAACAGTCTGCAGGTCTGTAATCCTCCGTATCTGCCTCTGCCCAAAGCACTGGGCAGGGCTCTTTATATAGTGACTCAGTCAATAAAAGTAGTATCATCACTACCATCACTAATATGGGACATCCTACAATGTGTCTCCTTAGGTGATGTTAACAGGTACATAGCACCTTAGTTATCAGACCTATGATGAAGTTACACCAAAAAAGTTTGACCTAAATTCTAACCTTTAGTCCTTAAGTCCAGCTTACAGGAAAAAGGCACAAAGGAACAAATCAAAAGGCATTATGAAACAATCAGACAAATTCAAAACCTGGATTCATTCTTCAAGAAAACCAGTTTATCTCTTTATAGTCTTAAAAAAAAAACCAACTGAGGGGGGTGGGGTTGTGGAGGGGCAAGGGGCTGGACTAGAATAAAGAGACCAAGACACACCCAAATGTAAGGTATGAACCTGGTTCTCAAAGTTATAAATGATCCTTAGAATTTTATGGTATGTGAACTGATCTCAATAAAGCATTTTCTTTTCATTAAAGAAATCTCTGGGACAATGTGGGTATTACCTTCAAATAACCACCCCAAACAAACAAACACAAACTAGATGGATGGTAGGCAGATAGCTCTAAAAAGCAAACATGTGAACAAGTATTAACAACAACAGAACCTAGGTGACAGACACTGGTCCATACTCCCTTCCTGTGTGAAAATGTTCACAGAACAACTGAAAAAAAAAACAAAAATATTATAAAAATTTTCTTAGGCCAACAGTGATTAAATACAAGATGCATTTGATTTCCAGTAATTTTTAATTCTTTGATAAATGAATAGCAAGCAACTCGAACGATGAATTTACAAAGAATGTTCCAAATGAATTTAATGAGTTTCATATTTCTGAGAAGTTTTACTATGGTATGACTTTATCTTACTTCCTTAGAAGTTTTGAGAAATGATATTTTAAATTGTATTAATTTCCATGTGCTGCTACACATCCAAAGAAAAGGATGCGAGACCCAGGGGATCCCAGACGTGTGAGCCGCCTCCTCATCTTCCCGGTCTGGGTACGTGACACGGCCATTCATTAGGCAGCCCTGTTTCTTCTGGCTCATGTAGGTTGAGAGAAGGGAGAGAGTTTTCTGTTATGCTTCTAATCAAGTATGTCAGATAGTTTTTAGGCAGCAGGCAGTAGGGGCTGAAACAGGGTTTTGGAGTAATGCAGACTCGGTTTTAATCCAGATTCTACAAATTACTATTGTGTGACCAGGGGCAAGACACCTAAATCTTCCTGACTGGGGTTCTCACCTCTAAAACTGGAGTTATGGTACTTTATCTAAGAACACCTTCCACAGTACCCTGGCACAATGCAAACAATAATAAGCCCCCTCCTTGTCCTTCCTCCACTATCCCTATTAACTGATGCTCTGAGTCACCGTGTTTCCACAGAAACCCCAACTGGGGAGATCTGTAATCTTCTACTGATATTCTGTATACTATTCACAAAGATGAGAGCATTCAAACAGTATGAAAGTACCCATTTAGAAACCAAACTTCCTGTGGAAAGCAGAATCTTTTAAGTAACATAGTTCAACCACATTGTGAAATGGGAAATAAGAGAGTGGATGAATTTCTAGGTCCTCAAAAAACAGTTTTCTTACTGTGTAAGAATTATGCATTACTGGACCAGACACACCTAAAATGAGGATTTCCCAAATCTAAACCTAACTTTAGATTAGGGGATACTTTTTGGGTTATCCAACAGTTCAGAAGTAATAACAATTTTCCTCTCAAATAGGTTTCCAACTTCAGATTCATCCTAACTATTATCTGTTAGGGAAAAAAAAAAGAACTAAATATAAGGAACTCATTCTAATAATGACATCTAACAAAAAATAAAAATAACTGCAAACATTTTTATGGCACTTACTATATGCAAAGCACTGTTCTAAGTATTTTACGTATACTAGCTCACTTTACTCTCACAGTATTGCTATGTCATGGCTATTACTACTAGAATGATCATCCTAAACAAGTTAGAAACCTTAGGCCTGGTGTGGGTAAGTAACTCATGTGCAGTAAATGGCAGACCAAGTGTTCTGAACCCAGGCAGTCTGGTTTTAGAGTCTGTGGCCTCTGTCACTATGTAATAATGTATCGCACATCCCCCAAAACATTCTCAACTGCCTAAAACTCAAAATGATGAAGTTTAGCTAGAGACCATAAAATATTCTTTTGATTTTTAAAAATGCACCTTAAGTGCAAACACACGGTACAAGACTCACTTGTGCAGGACAATTAAAAAAAAGAGCCTCAACCTACCTCACTGATGACGATCCTATACACAGAGCCACTTCAGCAACTCCATATAGAATATTTCTTCAAATAGGGCCAGAAGATGTATGGGGCCATTATTAGTTTTTATCTTAACAGTAACTAAGTATTTCTAAAGCAGCTCCATAATTAGTTCTTATCCTTCTCTTACACCCTTATTTCCCCCATGTCAAAATGCTGCATGTACCACACTGCCAAAGAGAAGATCACTTTGATTACAACTGCTGTTCAAATCAGAAACCACCCTACATTAAAATGAAACAACATATTTTAAAAGAAGTGAATCAGAAACCACCCTACATTAAAATGAAACAACATATTTTAAAAGAAGTGAATACAATGAGACACTAGTTTTAAACTGTTCCCATCAACAACAATGTGTACAATCATGCTCATTTCAAACTTAGTCTCTCTTTTGTCTAAACTCTAATCTATTTAGGCATTTTCAGTAAACAAATATTAAGCCGAATTATTTACAAAGTTAGCGTTCCACACATTCCTGTCAGAGCAGCTTTTATGTGAGAGCAGAACACTGTTGCCATGCAATGCAGGGGCAGTTTAAGGACAGTATCTTTCTCCACCCCTTTTCCCACCTTCCATTCTTCCAACTCCATCTAAAAATAAAAACTAAGTCCTGAAAATTGCTGGGGGTTCCCCTAGGGACCTGTGTGAGGTGTCCCTCCATTCTTAGGCTTCTTCCTTTGGGAGCAGGATGTTAGATGAACTTTGAACTAAAAGGAATGTACAGTTTTAAAAGCATTTTAGCAATGGGGAGTCCAGGTCAAAGTTACTAAGATACCAAAGAAGCCAGGTATTTCAAAAGCATTCCCACCACTAAGTACCTAGCTATAAAGAAATTACACTTATGAGAATGTGTGAGCAACTGAGCCCCCCTAACTTATCTCTGTTTGACACGTTAAGTGTTCATACCAGAAAATAAGAAAATTAAAAAAAAAAAGCAAAAAGAGGAACAAAAACAAACCCCAGTCTCTTCTAGTTTTTTCCCTAGGGATTTTTACTTAAATTTGTTGCCTTGTAATCACTAAAGAAAGTACTTTCTTCCAGAAATTTGACACGTTAAGTGTTCATACCAGAAAATAAGAAAATTAAAAAAAAAAAGCAAAAAGAGGAACAAAAACAAACCCCAGTCTCTTCTAGTTTTTTCCCTAGGGATTTTTACTTAAATTTGTTGCCTTGTAATCACTAAAGAAAGTACTTTCTTCCAGAAATTAGCAATTTTCCTTTATGTGAAATTATTGTTGTTTCATTACAACAAAACAAAAACTGAAGCTGACGCATTGGCAATTTAAAATAAGTGAAGACCTTGCAGAAAGTCTGTAATTCAAGAGTATAAGTAACATACAGTCAATGGCTTCCTAACAGTAGCAGATATATTCTCCTTTGAGACAGATTTAAAATGCATCATACTTGCTTTTAGTTACACCTTTAAGGAAACAGAAAATTAAATTCCAAGAAATCTGGCTGGACTTTTAGTCAACTTTTCAAGAAAAGAGCAAAAAGAATAATCACAATTTTGAAAGGCTGAGAAAAAAACTTGATGGTTCTACATTGTTAAAATCTTGATCATTCAACATATTAGGAAAATAAATCACTCTTGTTATGTACGTGTTCTAAATGGAGGAAGGAAAGTACTGTTCCTTTAAGGATTAAAACAAATCGTTAATGAAAACTTTCTTATACAAAATACAGTTTTTTTGTTACTTCCTTAAACTGTTATAAATAAGATTTAATCTTTAAAAAATCAATTAGGGTCGAAAGCAAGATGTCAGTCCATGCACCTTGTCACATGTTAGTGTGGTCCTTCATTTGCTTGGCCCAAACGAGGGATTTACAGGATCTAGACTATAGAATTTCCTCCAAATAACTGACAGTTAATTCTTTAAAAGTACTAACATTTAAATTTAATCATGTGAAAAACTCTCTAAAATATATTATCTACCTTCCCTGACAGGGTAACAGGTAAACTGCTCTTAAGGTTTGACAGACCCTACAAAAACATGGGACTCATCAGCTCCTGCAACAAGTGGCCTCAACACAGGCTGCTTTTCTGGTCGCCTACTCCTTTGGGTCATGTTTCCTGCATTTGCCAAGTGCCTCTCCCCATACTTGGTGTTTTTAACCTGATCTCTACTGTCATCCTCATTTCTGACTGCAAGGGCAGCAGACAATGGGCTCTTAAAGTCTCTCTCTCTCCAACACGATCCTCCTTGTACAGTCTCAATTTTGTAAACGCTGCCACCATTTCTGAAATTCCCAAGTGGTAAACCTCAAGAGTCATTAACAATTCCTCATTCTTCCTCTCCCTTCCACATGAAGTCAGTCCCAAATCCAGCCATACCTCAAAACCACCTCTCAAACATGGTTGCTCTTTCCTATTTGGCCCCCATTCCCACCCCATTCTTAGACAACATCAGTTCAGGTTCTCTCCTGAACTAATTAAGCTTTGATTATGGCAACAGCCTCCAAATGGTTGGTCTTCCAACAGTCTTTCTAACATTCAGCCTTCTTTTCCTTAAAAATAATCAAATGTGATCAGATCACTTATCTGATGAAAAATTACAACTGGCTCCTAAATGTTAGAGGGGGTAAGTCCACAATCTTTAACAAAAGATCCAAGACTTAAAAAAAAAAGCCCTACTTCTTCAGAATTCCCCTTTTCAGATCCTTACTCATCAGCAAACACCTTATATTCCAACCTCTAAGGAAGAGAAGAGAGAAAAGAGAAAATGGAGAAGCAAGAAAATGACGAAGAATGTGAAATACTGAAGAACTGGCAGGCTCCCCTACAGTATCACAATGATTGGCAGGTCTTTTCCTCCTATTCAACTGCTTAAGCATGCCTTCAAAAGACATCAAAATGAGATGCACTGGCTCCTTTCCCTTTGATTTTTACCAGGGAAACCATCTATTCATTATGATTTAACATTCTCTGATGCTCATTTCATTTCCTTTAAATGTTTTCAAAGACTTTGTTTCAATATACACTTGTTTCAACAGCACTGAACACTTGCTCTAATTTATGACTTTCTTTATGATACTCTTTAGCTGGAAGGTTAACACTTCAGAAATAACAGTCACTGGTGTTCCCTCACCTATCACATGAATTCACAATACACAATGAAAAATGCTTCTTCAGGTAATCAAAGCACCTTTCTTTGCCTTTAGATGAGGTTAGTTCAATGGATGAACTATTGCCTTCACTAGGTTTGCTTTATGACATTGTAATATCGAAGTTAAGTTTCTTATATTCTTCTGAAGCACATTCCTCTTGAGAGTCATGTTTTCTATTAATATTTTCACCATCTGTTTTTCCAACTGTAAAACTTGAATTTCATAAGCAAAATCTGCACTACCTGGAACACTAATTAAAAAAATTTTCCAATTGATTTCTTCTTGTTTCCATATGAAGTATTTGGTGGACTGATTTATGCCAAAGAACCAATCTCCACTTACTGACATTCAATACTTTATCCAAAATTTATATTTTTTGGCTAAGAATTAGTCTTTTCTTAGGCTTTCTCACTTCCACTAATATGGTTCCTTTTCATGGTTCTAGCTCACAAAAAAATAAATAAAAGTAAAAATAAAGTAAACCAAGTCTTGACTCTTGATCTAAAAGGTTTACTGTGACATGGTATGATAGTGAATTGAGAAAACAATGGGCAATAACTGAGAAGATGTTACTGGGCAGTGGACTCAGCAACAAATGACTTCCTTCTGCATGTAAGTTTTGAATATGAAAAATTTTCAA